TCATCTTCAAGCGAATTTTGGAGTAACTTTTAAAATTTACAAGCACAGCTAAAATCACGTTTCCATGGTTACAGAATATTCTACTCAAATTGAACACGGGGTGTCTAGATTTTCCTTATGACAGTATCATTGTATCAATTAGCTACATTTTGGTAAGGGGTGAGGATGTATTTTACACTGAAACCTGACGTCAGTTGAATGGATGTCGTCTGAATTTAAAAAAAAAAAAAAAATTGTTAACGGTAAAAAATTTTCAACGTCATCTTTTAAAATTAAAGATTTTTTTAAATACTTTTATTTAACTACGATTTGAAATATTTTCCTTTTTAATTTTTTTTTACTATATTCTTTTTAAGAACAGTTAAATGTATTAGAATCCATTATATTATGTAGGATTATTTTAACATTAAGTTTAAGTATGTATATGAGGTTACATTTTTTTTTTTTTTTTTTTTTTTGTATATTATGACAGCAGAAATGGTTACTTAATTTCACTGATTCAGTAAACTTTTCTTTTTATATAAAACCTATTATTATAATATTTCACATGTAAGTATGGGAGGACATGGGTCATTCAAAAGCTTACATGTTATGGTATTTCATATTAATTTTATTTTACTATAATTTTTGGATTCTTTTTAATGCGTGTAGTAAAAAAAATTTAGGTTAGAATTCAAACTACAAAAATTACAAATTCAAAATTAAACTTTAAAAAAAATATTTTCATTGTTTAGTTTTAATAGACTATAAAATAAAAGAAAATTAAATATTAAGTAAAATTATTTTCCAAAGATATAAAATTTTTTTTTTTTTTTTTTTTTTTTTTTAAATTTAAATATTATTTAAATTATACTTACTACAAAACTAGGGTCATTTCTCAGATTTAGTAAACTTTATTTATTTCCTTAATTTATTTATTTCAAATATATGTAACCTAATTAATAAAGTTTCATAATCATTTTACTACAATTTTAATTTCAATTTTAAAAAAAAAAATTTTAAAATATTTTCATTGTTAAATTTAGACAAAATTTATAACAGATAATTACTCATAGTAAGTAAAAATTTTTTTTTTTTTTTTTTTTTCTTATCAAAGTTAAAATTACAATTTTAAACTTTTAATTTAGATATTATTTAAGTAATATTTGGCATATAAACTATCTAAGTATTTCTCAGAATTATACTTTATGTATTTTAAGTTAATCTGACAGATTTTTTTTTTTTTATATATATATAAGTGATATAATGTGTTTCTCATGTAAGTTATCAAAAGCTTACATCTTATGGCATTTCATATTAATTTTATTTTACTATATTTGCTTTTTGGGATTCTTTTTAGTGTTCTATTATTTAAAAGAAACAGGTTATTCATTCATTTATTTAATTTTAGTTTCAATTTTAAAATTACAAACCAGCCTTTTCAATGTTTTATAAGAATTACTTTATAACAGAAGGAATATTACTCATAAAAAAAATTAAACAAACATATGTAAATTTAATTTTTAAATATTTTAAAATATTATTTTAAATATTAATGGAACATCTACTAAATTTATTTATTTATTTTAAATATATGTAACCTAAGTAAAAGTTTCATATGTATGTAAAGAACAGGTTAAAAAAACTACAATTTTAATTATAATTTTAAAATATCCATTAAAATTTTAAAATTTTTCATTGTTAGTTTAGAAATTATTTTTATAACAGAAGGATAATTGTTTTCCATAACAAAAGTATATGAAAATTACAATTTTTAAACTATTATATTTAAATATTTAAGTAAAAAACAAAACTATCTATTTCTGAGTATTAATTAAATTATTTATTTTAAATATATGTAACCTGAGTAATAAAGTTTCATATGTATGTACAAAGAACAATGGGTCATACATTACCTTAATTTTTAGTTATTTTTCTTTTCAGATTTTTATCGTTCATTCAAGTGTTTGTAGTACATTTATTATAGAGGTGTTTCGGTTAGGATACATTTTATTTAACTACAATTTTTAAACGGTAGTTTTAATACGTTTTAACCACAATTTTAAATTTTAAATAACAGTTTAAAACATTTTTCCTGCCCAATAGACTTTTTTTTTTTTTTTTTTTTTATATATTATTTAAGGAAAATTTTTGACAATGACGGCATATAATATCTATTTCATTTCTCTGATTCAGTAAATTTTTATTTTTTATAAACTTAATATATAGTTTCTCTTGTGTATATCTTTAATGAACAAATTCTAGCTCCTTATTAACTTCCATTTTACTGTAGGTGTTTTATTTGATTCTTTTAAAAATATTTTGAGAGAGATGTTTGATTTTTTATTTATTTATTCTAAATGAAGTTTGATGTTGGTTGAATCTTTTTTGAATTCATGGCTCAACCTATATATATTTTTATGTTATCAGGATTTTCAATCCATTGGTATACTAAATTCAAACATTTATTTTGTAGTGGGCAATTTTGAGGGTTTCGACAATTACATAGTTTTTGTTTATTTACATCAGTTTTTATCTTAATTTTTCTATTGTCTAAATTTTTTTGGTTTTGGTATAAGTATTTAAGATATTAGCATTATGGTTCTTATATTTTTTTTCTAAGTTCTTTGTACAGCTATAACTTAATTTTATATAAAATATATAGTTTATTTTCACAAATGTTGACTATTAATGTGAGGAATTTATGTCCTAATCTGTTCTTTACCATTTGGTTATATGGGGAGTATACCAAATAATTTTTCTACATCTGTTTTTTCTATGTTTTCCATTTTCATTTTTTATATACATGGGTTTTTGTAACCACTATCTTTTAGAGCCTTATTATAGCCATTGATATGCTCATCAAAAAATCTTGTTATTAGCTGAATTTGTACTAATTCGTTTAATAGATAACGGTATATGTTTAATTATAGATGGGGGTGATTTGATTTAGGATGTATATATAAAGGATTGGTGTTGGGTTTTTATAAGGTGTGTATGTATTTTTATTTAGATCTAAAGTTATATCTAGGGAAGTCTACTTTTTTTAATTTAGTACTAACTGTAATTTTTAAGCCCATGCTTTTAAATTCTTTATATAATAACTTTCTAATTCTATCTATTTTGAAGTTCGTTGAGTTTCTAATGACCATTAGCCCATCGTCCCTGTACAAACCATATATATATATGTGTGTGTGTGTGTGTGTGTGGTTAGAATGTTTGCTTTCTGACCATGAAACTCTGGTTCAAATTTCATCATGGTTAATTAGTTAAGAAGGTTACTTAATGTTATCCTCTTGCAGAGACAATTTCAGCATATGGTACCATTGGAAAGTACCTGAAAGCCATACCACAGGTTGACCAAGCCATTTTAAGTGAAATTGGGTAGACAGCATTGTTCGTCAATGGCTGTGCTAGCATGAAGTCACAAGTCATTGTGGCTGAGGTTTTGAGCGTACTGGCTTTATTCAAACTGTTGATCATGCCAGATTATGCACTCCCTCCTAGCAATTGTAACTAAAGTCAACTCAGCAGTGTATAGTAATAATATATGTATAAACCATAGTGTTGAACAAACACAAATGTTCCTAAGTAGGAATCTACAACAGGAACTGACTAGCTGCCCTAATAGACAAGCATACACGGATACAAGCAGACAGTGATTATATATACATATATATAATTTATACACTTATTATTGTTATGCTCTGATCTTTCACAGAGTCAGTTTTTTCATTTCCTGGTTTCATAAATATCTCAAAAGTTTCTTATTGTCATAACAAAGATACTGCCATCTGGTGTCACCAATGCAAGAAAAATAACTTAATACAGCATAAAAGATATGGCATACAAAATATGATTAAGTGACTTATAAAGAGCTGCAAATTTACTGAAAAAAAAATATTCCATATTCAGTGCTACAAAACCTGAGAAGTCAAATTTAAATTGGCTACTGAAATATTAGTTCTTTGTTTTTATAAAATAATGTGTTCCTTGAAGAAAGAAAACTGTTATTGTGAACAGATTTGCTGTTATACTGTGAATAAGATATTAATGTTTTACCCCTTAAATGTAGCAAAATAAAAATACAAAACAACACTGAATCAATAAATCATTTCAGGCAAAGTTAGAAAAAAGAAATGAAGACATCACAAATGCAACTAAAACAGTAGTTAGTAAATGACTGATGTGGTCACATGAGATTAGTCATCAAACAAAAGTATTTCTATAACTAAAGAGAAAAACAATGAAGCAAAGGAAAACATTGGTAAAAAAAAAAAAAAAAAAAAAAATTCTAACAGGGATTTTTTATCGATTTTTATTGCTTTTATCACAATTCCCATTTTCCAAAATTTATTTCAACAAAGAACTAATTGCCAAAAAATGTCTTGATAAAATGTATCAAAAAAAAAAAAAAAAAAAAAAAATTAGATGAAAGAAAACCATTTGCAATAGTGAAAAGATATATGAACAGTAATTTCAGACTATTATTTTTTTGTTAACAGTAAAATATGAAAGAGTTAAAAGAAAAATATAATGACAGCAGAAGATGAGAAAATCTAAGTTCTTCTGGTATTATTCATGAAAGACAAGAGGAATGGGATACAAGTCCAAGTTTGACTTGAAACAATATTTCATCCACCCTAATTTTTTCTGAAGTTTAGTTTAACAGCTGAAGAAACATTATTCAAATATTTGTATCTGAAAATAGTTCATCTCAAAGAAATTTAGTTGTTATAGTAACAACTTAGTTGAAAACTATAGATATACTAACAAAAAAATTAATTTCTTTTAATTCACTGTAGACAGTTTATCATCTTCTACTACTGATATCTCCATTAAATATCATACAATAATGTTTATTTACTTATGCTTATAAATGAATAATGGCTATGCTTTCAAAAGCAGCTCCATAATAGAATTGACTTTTATGTGCCATGTACCTTCAAGACTGGGGTGATCATGGCTCTCCACAACTTTCTTTCTCTTGTTGCTCTAAGCAACATTGACTTACAAACATATCATGTTGAAACACAGGTTTTCATATGATCACCAAAGTTAAGCAACATTAAGCTTGGTCAATACCTGGATGGGTGACCACTTGGGAATACCATGTACTGTAAGATTGGATGTGTGGATGGTGCAATAGATAACAGCTCAGAATTGGAAATCGGAAAACCGAGTTCTAATTCCAGTCGGGTTTGTTATAGTCCCTTACACCAGTGGTTCCCAAACTGTATGTGTTATATACAGTACATAATTACACATGTACATACATGCACACAAATATTTTTATGTATGCATACTGTACATGCACTGTATGTATTAACTCATACACTCTCTCTCTCTTTTAAAAAAAAAAAAAAAACTCACTGTTAAATAACTCAAAATCAAATTGCCTCATGTTTAGAATCACAGACTTATATGTAAATACCCTTGCAAAAGGCATGTATCCACCTTTTCTCCCACTGACTATGGGTTAATTAAGAAGACTTGAATCATTATCTCCCCACTAAAATTCTTTCAATCTTAAAATATTTTCTGGCTTTAAATAACCTGTAAAAGATTGATAAGTCATGAAAAACAAATCCATCAATCTAAGCAACATTTGGCTAACTACAAAATAAAAATGGAAAGAAGTCAGTATTAATAGCAAAGTCTTTTTTTTTTTTTTTTAATTTAACCTCAGTTGAGATCATGTTTTGTTTTGTATTGTTTGTTTTATGATATATCGAACCATTGGATCATTTAATGCCGAAGTTTAATGTTTTTCTAAATAAAACCTTGTATTTAAACAGTCAAAAAAAACTTTTATTTTAAATAGTAAGGCTGCTGTTATGATTATATATTTTTTTAATTATATTTTTGAATTCAGTTTAATTTCTCTTAGAAACTGGAATATGTAAAGTGAATCAGTATTTTGAGACAAATTCTTTTAAATTTGTTTGGTAGTATTTTAAGCAGATTGAATTAAAATTGCTGCAGTTTTTCAGTGTGTGTTTTATGGTGATTTGCTCTTGGTATGCCACACATGCCAGAGGATCTTCCTTTTTTAGGATATATGAATGTGTTATGGTAGTATATCCAATATGGTGCCTGGTCATAATCACTTCTCTTCTGGTTTGGTGTTTCTGATGCCATTCTCCTATAGTAACTTTAATTTTGTACAGTTTATCAAATAATGGCAGGAGTTCCATAGGTTCTGACACTCCTCTTTAATATATTGATTGATTAGTTTCAAATCTGTATATGGAATTTTGGTATTTAAAGGGTTTTTTTATAGTAGATGCTTTTCTTGCTTCAAAATCTGCTCTGTCATTCCTTGTGATACCAGCATGGCTTGGTATCCAGCAGAAGACAATATCTCTTAGCTATTGATCCTCTTGAGTAGTTTAATGAGTGCATTTGACATTTTTTTTGTTGTTGAGAGCATATGCCTCCAATATGCAGTGTCCCAAGGTGGAGCCTTTCTCTAACTGGTTTTGATTTCAAAGTTGTCTTATCCAACTATGACTAGAGAACTCAGTTTACCCTGCTATTTAACCCATAGCTGGTGGGGGCAGAGTAGAAGAAGCCAAACATTTTCACAAAGATGAATTTTACGCATGACAATGTTCAATAATCTTCAGTAAAGAAAATGAATGAAGATCTAAATAAAATGGTTTCAGAGACACTCATTTAATGAAGTAGCTTATCAGTTTTTGTGACCTTAACACAATTAAAATTCATACCTTTCTCAAGTGCAAAAGTAAATGGATATTAAAATAGAAAACAAGATAGATTTCAAAAATGACCCTTAATTAATTATAGATTTTTATAAAAATAGAATGAAGAAAATATCAAACTAAAATATTAAAAATCTTTAGTATCATTCATTACTGCTGTGGACTAAAGTAGGTAGTATCACTCATAAGCACGAAAGGGTCATAAAGCTGAGAAAACTTTAACAAAACTAGCTAAAAAAGTATTATATTCAAAGGAAATATAAGACTATAAAAAACAAAGCAATAGGATTTATGCACAACCAATGCAAATATTTTAAAAGTAAACAAGAAAATATATTCATTTTCTCCTAAATAAAAAATTGGTATAAGGATATATCAAACATTTTCACTTTTTGCAGATCTTTTTCACCAAACACCATGTAGACATCTAAAAATTTAATTCTACCATTCTTATCAATACTATTCAGCATTTTGTTTCTGGTGTTAGAATGGTAAGTAAGGAGATTACAGGAATTTTGCAGCATTATTTTAAACTGACTTGTTGATTCCAATCTGTTTATGAATGACTGCAAAATACTTTCCCTCTCCCCAATTTACAGGCAGAAACACAAATGCATGCTGGGATTTTTTCATAGCCAATAAAATAGGCCAGTTATCAGTTTCATCTGGCTCAATCCCAGTCTGTCTTGAAGTTCAAATGCTACATTCGGTTACCCAAACATGCTTTTGTGTGTCAACCCCATTTCTTAGTTTGTGAACTTTTTGCCATATTACTGTTTGCTTTGCCTTATTACTATTAATTTTCCTTACATATGTTGTTTGCTTGCTTTATATTGCAGTAGAATCCCTGACAACCAGACTAAGAAGGCCTTCTGGATATGAGGAATTTGTTACAAAGTTCAGATATGAGGGATTATATTTAGATCAAAATAAAAGAACTGAAATCAGGTTTAACATTTATTTTCAGTGTTTTATAGTAAACAAAATAAAATAATGGTGAGTGAAATATAATGGAATTGATTTTAAGGAAAAAGAAATAAATTATGTAATGTTAATGAAATTTCATTATATTAAGTATACCATGTATGCAAAACAAATAATGTAACAAGGATTTTTAAATTGCTCTTGCATGATGATTCTTTCACTTCTAATGTCATTCAACTTTTTCTGCATTTCGTTTTATTTTTGTTCTTAAAATTTTTTAAAGCAAAAGACACTTTTTAACTTTGTGTACATTATTGCAATCATCATAGCTGAATGTTGGCTTTCTTTCCATAAAACTGACAACCTTTTCAATAGCTTTTTCAATTTCAGTCCAGGTTTCATCACAACTATGTTTTTTATTTCCTTGTTCATTGTGATAGTGTGAATGCTGGATAATAGTTTCTTTGGAAGATTTTGTATCATACAATGTTGACTTTCCTATGTTGAACTCAGCCATTAGTTACAATGAACTTTCACCAGCATCTAGTCTGTTTAAAATTTTCACTTTCTGTGAAAACTCCAAAATTGTTCTTTTCCTCTTATTCCCATCATCTTTTGCACCAATATAAGCCATTAAGGTAAAATAAGCATAAGCAATTATCCAAAGTAAATTTCCTGAAAAACAGAAGTTTCAAATCAGTTACATATCACCCAAATAGTTCAAATATACACATCAAAATCATATCCGGATATGCGGAACTCCGGATATGAGGGATTCTACTGTATTTTTAGCACTGTTCTTTTCTTTTTCTTGTTATTGCAAACATTGTCAATTCTGTTTGTTGGACAGTTCTGTTACTTATTTTACATTTAACCATGGCTACTCACTCCACATGAGCCTCAAAACTAATGAAACTGACCACAGAAATTAAAAAGTAGAAAGAAATGAAACAATATATGATCATTATACTCAAAACAAGTTTAATCATTTTAAGGGTGGTGACTCATCCTTTGAAATAAAGCCCAGAGGTAGACAATCATCCTTTGTTTATTATGATGCTTTAAAATGAAAGGTAAAAAAGGACCTGACCAGAAGCATTTGAAAGCCTTAAGAAATAAGATCAAAGGATACCAGATGTAGAACATTATATAAGCTTAAAAAATAATGAATAAAAGAGTTCTTGAGATTCCACAAAGTTTCAGAAATGCAAGTATAGTTTTGAACAGACACTTATGAAAGTCTCCTTAAAATCCATTGGATATACATTTTTTTTTCATCAAGTGTACATGCAATGAAAAGTGGATTTAATTATGAAATCCAGGTTATCAGCTGGATCATGGACCATCTGCAGAACCAATGACAAAACAAGGAAAATTTGAAAAAAAGTTGTGATTAGTGTTTGATGGAATTTGAAGCAAATCATTCATTTTAAAATCATGCTATATGGTTAAGCCATCAACTCAGACTTCTGTGAATATAAGCTTAAAAATGCATAGAGAATTTTTCAGCATTTCTCTATAGTTCTAGAAAAATACATTTCCTTACCACTAATTATAAAAGCTTACAACTATTACCCATAACTTGGTTCTCAAAAATATGTTTATAAATAATATAGTAGGCATCCATTTGTTTTGCAAGATATAAGGTAGCATCCAGTTTGGTTAAAATTCAGGCTTTCGTTGGTTAAATTGAAGTGACCCCTGCAGGATGCAGGTCTGAGTGATGGTACATGGAAGCCGTGCACTGCCCAAACTATATGGTCCCTCTCAGTCATGCCAACAAAATCCAAAGGAATACAGAGCATTATACTTGAGGAAAGCTTAGCTGCAAAAGTTGCTGGAAAGTTGTCAGTGTTGACAACCAATCACCTTTGGTGATCCAATCTAGGTTTTCTGTTTGGATTTACTTCCATAGCCTTTTCTGTTTGGATATGACCACCAGGCAGCCAAGGTTTAAAATCAGAGTTTCCCTTCCCCTAGATGGACTACTTTCCTGGGATGTCAAGTTCCATCTACCCAAATTATAAATTTATATTGATATAATTTTATTTACATCACAAAAAAATAAATGCGAGGGTACACTGACACTGATGTATGTGCATTATGTCAAAGTGATTGAGGCACTTTACGTCACATGCTCTCTGCATGCCTACAATCACTGCAGATGTACACTTAGCATCATATGAAAGTGCTGGAAGTAGTCATGGACTTAGTTATGAAGCAGCCAACAAACAACCTGTAATGGCCAGAGAACCTAAGATCTGTTTTAACAAGGAAGGTGAATTCCATGCAGAAGAACTAAATAACTCCCAACATGATACAACCAAGTGGAGCCCATAAGGGTGTTAGTTAATCTTAGAACACCTCCACAATTTTCTGTACACATCATTCAGACAGACGCATGCCCTGGCATTGTAGAGTGGTCTGATTCAAAGAAGTGTGTCCTACTAATAGAATTAACAGTTCCATGGGAG